ATTAATCTTCTAGAAAGTTTTCATTTTGTCATACTTCAGCTCAAAAACCTTTAATATTATTCATCAACTTCCAAACAAATGTCAAGCTTCACAAGCTAGTACTCAAGGATTTCCACAACTGGTGCTTACCTTCCTTTCTAACCCTATTTCCAATTACCCATGGATAATCTTTATTCCAGACATCGTGGTCTGTTTCTCTAATCCATCACGCTATTAAGGTCTCCTCGTCTTTGTTATGGTTGTGCCTTTCCTGGAATGTTCATACCATCTTTGTACCTATCTAATGCCTCTTGTCCTTCCAAAGGTCATTTCAAATTTCACCTTTAGATTATGTATCTTAAGAAAACAAATACAAACACACTTCAAAACATTAAAAATAGAACAGCAGACTCCACATCCATTAGGATGATTACTACCTAAAACAACAACAACAACAACAAATAAATGTTGGCAAGGATGTGGAGGTACAGGAAGCCTTATGCACTTTTGGTGGGAAGTAAAATGGTGCAGCCATTAACAGAAAACAGCATGGCAATTCTCCAAAAAAGTAAAAATAGAATTATCATATGATGGAGCAATTCTACTTCTGGGTATATACCCAAAAGAACTGATAAAAGGGTCTTGGGGAGATATTTGCACACCCATGTAACAGTAACATTATTCAAAATAGCCAAGAGGTAGAAGCAAGGAAAGTGGCCATTGAAAGATGAATAAACAAATGTGGTACATATACACAATGGAATATTATTATTATTCAGCCTTAACAAGGAAGGAAATTCCGACTATGTTACAGCATGAATGAACCTTGAAGACATTATACTAAGTGAAATTAAGCCAATCACAAAAAGACAAATACTGTATGATTCTACTTACATGAAGTATCTAAACAGTCAAAATCATAGACATAGAAAGCACAATGTGGTTGTCAGGGGCCAGGGGAGGGGAAATGGAGAACTGTTTGATGGGTTATAGTGTTTCAATTTTGCAAGATGAAAAAGTTTTGAAGATTGGCTGCACAACAATGTGAATATACTTAACACTACTGAACTGTACACTTAAAAGATGGTTAAGATGATAAATGTTATATAATACATATTTTTACCACAATTAAAATTTTTTGAAATAGGATTACAGAATACTTAAAGACATAAAAATGTGTAACATATTGTTAAGTGGAAACAGTTTTCAGAACAATATGTACAGTACGATCCCAATTTTCTACTTCGAAGTAAGAATACACATTTGCAAAAAAAAATTGCAAACATATACCACAATATTAAAAATGGTTAACTCCAAGTGACAGAATTTCAAGAAATTTGTATTTTTGTTTGTGCTTTTTTAAATTTTCCAAATGTTCTTCTATGAAAACAAATTACTATCTGTGTATTAGCAGGGTTATCCAGAGAAACAGACCCAACAGGATACTTATAAAAATGAGTTATTCAAGGAAATGGCTCACCACCCAGTTATGGAGGCCAAGAAGTCCCACAATCTGTCTTACGCAAGCTGGAGAACCAGGAAAGCAGATGGTATGATTCAGTCCAAGGCCAAAGACTTAGAAAGCCAGGGGGCCACTGGTATTAAGTCCTGTAGTACAAAGGCCTAGAACCAAGAGCTCTGATTCACGAGGGCCAGAGAAGATGGACTTCCCAGCTCAAGAAGAGAAAACGAATTCGTCCTACCTTTACCTTTTTATTTTATTTCAGCCTTCAAAAGATTAGATAAGGATGATGCCTGCCCTCATTGGCAAGGGCAGATCTTACTTTACTCAGTCTACTGAATCAAATGCTAATTTCTTCCAGAAACACCTACAAAGACACACCTAGAATTAATGTTTTACCAACTACATGGGGATCCCTTGCCCAATAAAACTGACACAAAATTAACCACCACACTTTACTAATCAGCAACAATGCTATTATTAAACTGCAAAAACTCACCTTCAGCCTTACACCTAACCTCCACTATGAATCTTTTCTAATGATTATAACCCACAGAAAACTGGCCTTCTTTTGAACTTGGGATGTTTATTGTCTGTATCAGCAGTCTATAAACTTTTTTGGTCCTGTATCTCATCAGTTAAAAATTTTAAGCAATCATCATTTACCAATTACGTAGGGTACCACTGTATTAATGTATTTAATATAAAAACATGCTAAATGCAAATTTTTAAAAGATAAAAAGGAAAGACTTTAAAATAATGTAGTTTACTAATTAATGGCAAAAATACCTTTTTACTCTATCTTTAACTGATAGCAATGTGACTCACTATGCCTCATTATTATTAAAAATCTTGATTTAAACTTTATGAAATGGTGATTTAAAGGTTTGGCTCTAAGTTCAATTTATTATTTTTTTTTAATCTGGCTTTCAATGCCTGTTAAAGAAAAAATTAAAAAAGGATACTTCACAAATGTGTGTAGAACCAAGTGGAAGAAATCACTGATCACACTTTCTAAACTCTCTATTTTGAGGTTCTTAAAACAAGTTAGAAAACTCCAGTCTGGGTTTTTAACAAGTTTATCGTTTAACCAAATAACATAATGATGGAATATTTTCAAACATCCATTTTCAAAATAGATTTACTATAGCATGAGTGTTTCTAGAAAATCAACTACTATATTTTCTCATTCATTATTTAAAAATAAAAACAAACAAAAAAACCACCCTGCAGGAACAGACTGAATATGTTTGTGTATCTGTGTGTTTCATTATTTTTGGTTAAATATTATTGTCAGTTATATGCCATCTCTAAAAAGATCAGCAAATTTGGAATGCTTTTTATTTCTGTTAAAGAAAACAATACATAACATATTCTTAAGTTTGACAACTCCTTTTGAGTACTTTTATGTATGGCTGTGGAAAAGCCTGTACTAAGAGTAGGAGAATCCAACTCTGTGGTTTGTTGTTTACTTTTGGTTCCATTATGAGTATTCATCCAAGATATGATTTCTCTACAGGAATCATTTTAGGTTAATTAAACATTCTGTGAGAGTTGGTTTAGTTAAAGCTAGATAACAATCTATAAACAGAAGTAACTACTTGTGTAAGCTCTATTACATCACAAGGATGAACTAAATAAAGGATACCACTGTTAATCTGTTCAGTTTACTCACTGATCTATATAATGTGACTATCTGATAAATAAACATATGGACTGACTGTAGATGTTGGTATCAATCCTCATAATAAATATTAGTAAAGGTTCATTTATTTTTTATTTAGACAAAAAATGAATAGTCCCTAAGTTGGGTGGAATCTTATAAGGAGTTTGGACTTAATGCACAAGACTGTGGTGAGTCATTATAGACTTAAGACACTGGTGTTGATTATATCACTCTGGAGACAATTAGTGAAGAGGGCCAAGTACAGAACCTAAGAGGACTCAAACATCGCTGAAGAAAGAAATGAAAGAAAAATATAAAGAGAGACTACTGATAAAGATGGAAAGGAACATCCAAGAAGGTGAGGGGGAAATTAAGAGAAAAAAAATCAGCTCAGAATTTGCAAATAAAATAATAAGGGAAAAAACCTCCTTTAGATTTGGCAATTAGGAAGTGACCAATCACATAGGAAAGCAACATCAAGTCCAACAGTAGGGGTGCAAGCTGACTGCAGTGGATGGAGTGGAATAGAAGGTGAGGAAATTAACACACAATGGCTATTGTTTCAAGAGACCCAACTATGAGATTACAAACAAAATATATAGTACAATCTCATTTTGATACAGAAACGTTTTATAGCTATATATAATGTATGAAACGATAAACAACAAAATGTTGAGAGTGGTTATTAACAGGCTTTTCCTGACCATAGTATCTAAGCGTATCCTCCCCTTACCCTATGCCCCATCCAACATATATATCCTGTAATTTTCTTACTAGCATTATGGTCTGTGATCTTTATAGTACTTTCTCAAATCATAAATGATTACTTATTTACCTGCTTATTTCCTGTCTCTTCCACTATATTGTAAATTTATATTTATTTCATTCTTCTTCCTATACCAAACCCAGTACAGAGACTAACCACTCAGTGAACTGCATGAATGTTCAATGAATGAATGAACTAATGAATGACTATCATGGAAAAAGAGGTAAGCACACACAAGCCACTAACAGTGTCCCATTTAAGTTCATGTATATTCAAAACAATCTAAAAACCTGTCAAAAGTATGTTACCTTGTTTGTATAACACTACCTGACTTTCTAAAATTTGATTCTGTATCTCTACCTTCCCTTAAACAATATAATACACTGGTTAAGAAAACTGGCCATAAAGTGAGTTAGATCTCTTGTCAGTTAGCTGTGTGACCTCTGACAACTTTCTTACGTTCCTAAGTCTCAGTTTCCTCATTTGTAAAATGAGAGGCAACAGTATCTTCCTCATAGGAGTGTTGTTATATTTAAATGAAATATAACTTACACAGCCACTGTAAGCTCATGACACAATACCTGGCACACAGTAGATATTCAATAAATAATTGCAACTACTACTATTTATTATTGTTACTATTATAAACATCTTAAGCCTTAACATTTGGACTGTGCCACACAAAATTTTAAAGTAAATTTAAACTTTAGGATCCCAAGCCTCCTTTATTGGTGTCCTTTGCTTGAGTGCACCTGGTTTGAGTGGAGGGAAGGAGAAGAGACAGCAAACCAATATGGGCGGATAATTACATTAATTTCCTATCAGAAAAGTAGCCAAAGCCTAGAACAGTGGTCCTCAAAGCCATGCCAGCAAAAGGAAAGTAAAAGGAAAGAAAAAATAATACTAGAAAATGATGATGAAACTAGAAAACAAGGCATAAAACAGAAGCAATTTTGGACAAAAACTATGTTTGTGGGAGAAAAGAAGGATGATGAGGCAGAGAGGCTAGAAATGTCTTTGGAAGGCATCTGAATAAAGATCAAAGTTCAATCCATGGGAGTGGAGTGCATGAGATAAAAATTACAATCTCTGAGTTGGACAGGACTTTATTTTTTAATTTCTTTTTTCAGGGGAATGCTCAAACGCAGCCCTCCACTACCACAAGTTATGCAGCGGAGTTTCCCACAAATATGGGAAATTGCAAGGGTCAGCATAACCAGAATACAATGGATAAGTTTCACCCTCGGAAAACCACCTTCATGATCATGGTATCTTCCCTGCCAAGGTAAGTATGGACACTACTTTAAAAGATCACCTGACTCAACTGTCTACCCAATATATGAATCCTTTCTACAAGGGATCTTTCTGCCTCGACTTGAAAACCTTCAATAATGGAGAAATGACTAGTTCAAAAATAGATCGTTACTATAAAACAACCAAAATTGCTTTAGGAAAAAACACTCTTTCTTGTAGTAAACAGAATCCTGCCTCCCTGAATTTTGCATCATTATTCCTAGTTCAATTACATTACAGGAATAACAGAGTAAATAATTCTAGTCACAGGAAAGTAATACTACAAAAGAAGAAAGGGCAGAAAAGGAGGGCTAATGAGAGCTCAGAGCAATGGGTGGGGCAAACACATTTAAGAGGAAAGTAAGGAAGCAATTAGAAAAACTATCCATACAGAAGCCAAGGGAGAAGTGTCCAGGAGGAAAGTATGAACAGTAGTGTCAACACACTGCAAAGAGAGAAGTCAAGGAAGTTATTAACTTCAGGAAGGATACTGGATGAGAACAGTTTTAGGACAGTATTTAGGGCAGAAGCCATGTCACAATAAATTAAGTACGTGATGAAATAATAAAGGCAACAATATCAACATCTTTTTGGTGATGAAAGAAAAGAGCCTAAGACTTGAGCAAGAATTTTTTTAGACCACAAAGATCTGAGTGTATTTGTATGCAAATAGCAAGAAATCAACTGTAGGGTGAGATAAAGACACAATCTTTTTTCTTTCTTTCTTTCCTTCTTTTCTTTTCTTCTTCTTTTTTTTGCATTCTAGTGCTTGGGCACCAGCCAGTGGTCCAACCTGATGCCCTGGGATGAGAGGTTTCTTTCTAAGAGACAGAAGTGGGAGATGACAGGAGAAGGAAGAGTTAGATACTCATCGGCATGGGGTGGGATGGGGTGGAGAGGAAGAAAAAAAAAACAAAAAAAACAGATAATACCACACTCAGAGACAATGAGGCATCTTAGGGCAGAGCCACCTTGACAAAAACAGGACTTCGTCAAGCAACAGTAAGAAAATGAGCAAGCTGATCCAGAAAAGTCCCTTCCATCTTACTCTTGTGCCTAATGCCCCTTATCTGGGGTGGGCAGGAAGATCAGCTGGGACTTAGATGAACCTGGATTGCCTCCCTTCCACCATTAGTTCTGACAATCTAAATCCTAAGATTACTGAAAATATGTTATCCATGAAAGGATGGCAGAGGAGAGGGAAGCAATAGAAGGAAAAGAAGAAGAATTACATCATCACTAATATATGACTAAACACGATACAGTTCATAACTGCTTGCTTTCATTCACATTATTTTCTTGGTCTTCTAGCAAGACTACCAAGAAAAACATTTCTGAATGAATCAATGATTCCTACTATATGGATAAAGAAACAAGTTTAAGAGTAATTTGGTTTCAAACAACTTAACTAGCTGACTGTGAAGGTACAATTTGCATTTTCAGATCTTCTGATTCTAAATTCCATACCTCTGTCACCAAACCACATTGCCTTTCCAGAAAAAAAACAAAACACAACACCTAAGTTTTTCACTATTGCCTCCCATCCATTTCAGGCACCCAGTGGCTTACTTTTCTGTCTTCTTTTTCTCCTTATCAGGTCAATTACTGATCCAACAACAATTATTCACAAAAATAATTATTATTTAAGTGCATCTTGTATTAAAAATAAATAACAGCAATAACATTTGATTGTGATAATTTTTTAAGACTGTTTTTTAAGAGCAGTTTTAGGTTCAAAGAATTTTGTACGACTGGGACAGCCAGAAAATTATTCCTCAGGGAAAAAGATAATATACACTTTCATCAATATAATTTACTATTTTTCTTAGTAAAAGGATTATTCCTGAGCTGCAATGTAGGATAAATATGCTACTATGTGCCATCAAGATGCATAGACAAGTACTTATTTCTATGACAGCCTTAATTTGTTAGTATTTCTTGAAATGCAGATCTTTATGTTTAAATTTTAGCTTCATTATTGAGATCATTGTGAGCAATAAGTATATGATAAATAACTTTTTAATTTTTAAGTACTTTTAAAAATTACGATTAAATTGGATTCTGTCAGGTGATAAATCATATACATAAATAGTGTAGAAATATATTGTTATTTGTGTCTTGGCTATATGAAAGAAACTTACCTATACCATTTATCAGAAATTGACCCTTAAAATTCAAGAAGTGTTATGGGAAGTGTTTCTTAGAATTTGACAGATTGAGATATTTTAAATTACTATGATTAAAAAATAATCTCTACAAATTTCTATCAAATCAATCTTTGGTTGGACATTACAGTGTGGTTTTTCTTTTTTTTCCTTGCCTCTATCAGTATTTCTAAATTGGGGGAAATCAAGTCGAAGCTAAAGGAACACCGAAGATAAGAACACGGTTGCACTAATCTAATTTGCTTTTTCCTTACATTTCCAGTTGACATTTATGAAAACCTGTTCCTTGCAGGAAACTCTGAATACATGTGTTTCCTGAAGGTCCTTATTTACTGTTGATTTAGTGACAAGAAGGAACAATAAGAGAGAACCTTAACTAGAAGGCTACAAAGTATAAACATTTATAATATTAAATGTACATATTTTTAAATGGCTATAAGTGACATTTCATGTGTGACACCCTTAACAGGAATAAAAATCATAAATATCCTCAAAAAACAATATAAATATATTTTTTAAATCTAGATGTTATTCAAAATAAAAGCAATGTCTTTCTTCCCTAGCACTAATCAGTGACTTAATATAGCAGCCTGAAATTAACTAAGGGTCATAGGTCTGGAACCGAATGATGAAACTCTACAGTGATAAAATCTGTCTCCAGCATGTAAAAAATTCAGTTAAAACAAAATATAACTTGGATGCTTTATTTCACTCTTTTGGGCCACTGATATTACTGTACTAGTGAAATCTTTGTCAAAGTGAATCAGAATAGAACACTGGTATTCTGTTCTTGGTGTCTTGGCCAAAGTTTAGCAAATAAATCCTAAAATCACTCATTCAAAGTTATTGGAGAATACAAATGTCTTAAATATGTAAACCAGTAGGCATTTATTAAAATGGCTACAAAAAGAATAAATTTAAAATAAAATCTAGGCGGGTAGGGGATAGTTCAGTGCTTAGCCTGCATGAGGTCATGGGTTTAAACCCCAGTACCTCCATTTAAATAAATAAATAAACCCAATTACCTATCCCCACCAAAAAAAAAGAGAGAAAGAAAGAAAGAAAGAAAGAAAGAAAGAAAGAAAGAAAGAAAGAAAGAAAGAAAGAAAGAAAGAAAGAAGAAAGAGAGAAAGAGAGAAAGAGAGAAAGAGAGAAAGAGAGAAAGAGAGAAAGAAAGAAAGAAAGAAAGAAAGAAAGAAAGAAAGAAAGAAAGAAAGAAATTAAAATAAAACTTGTATAATCTACCCTACCCTGAAAACAGGTGCTAGAAGAAAATTATATATTAACATATTCCTAAAGAGAACAAAAATGACACTTGGATTTATCCACTGATTCGGGTTATCCCTGCCTTGCTTTTTGTTTTTTAGGGTAAAAATAATCTAATGTTAAGTCTATTTTTATTAATAAAATATATTTTATATCTAGGTCCTTAAAGGGGAGGGCCTTTAAATAATCTAAACAAGTATGTACTGTATAAATGTTAAGTAACAATAAAGATGATGCTTTCAAGAAATTTTAAAGAAAATAAAGCAAAATAGCTAGAAACTCATCTGCAGTAAGTCAGTAAGTGGTTCAAGAATGAAAATATTAAATGTTAGTTTAAGGAATAAAGTAAATAACTAATAAGTTCATTAGTACAATAACCCCAAGCCAACAATAAATTAATATTTTAATCAATCACTGGTTACCATTATCCCTATACCTCTCCCCACTGTTTCGGTCTCTTAGCCCAATTTTGCCTTACTAGCTTCTCTACTTAGCTTGGATCCCATGGTCAACTAGTTCAATAGTTTCCCTTGCATGTTCAATTCTCTCCTCCCTCATCCATGCTTTGTTCCTGGCTGCAGAACACTGTTAGAGAAAATTTATGTAAAACATGCTGATTATACATTTATGAGCTCCAAAATCAAGTGAGGCCCTATTCAGCAGTCCTTTCACTTATTTATCCTGAAACACTTCTCTTTCTCAAACCCTACAGTATTTATGACAAACTTTCATTACTACCATGTCCCTTAGCTTACCTTCATCAATCTCATGCTCAAAAAGTAACTGTCTACTTCACACCAACTTAAAAAAGTCCTCAGATATGACTTCTTCCATCCCTATGCAAAGGTACCTAACCTTTACCTACACACAATTCCTAACTTTCTGAGGTAAGTATGGTGTCTACTCTTTTCCAGAGTTAACTCCCCAACCTCCTGTTCTGAATCTCACCTTTCTCCATTTCATGTGAGACCTTGTTCTATTAATTATTCCCTGACTCTCTCATCTTCAATCTCATCAGTCCATCAAAAAACATTTTCAAGTACTAAAACTAAAATTCTTTCCCTCCACTCCATCTATTCAAGTTACTTCTTTTTGCCTCCCCTTCACTAGGAGACCTCTACTCTCTCTTTGGTCTACCTCCTAGAAATCTGTCTCCCATTCTCACCACTCACTTGGCTCGGGAAAAGCTGAGGAATGACCTGATTTCTAAAATCAATTGCTTATATTCAGTCTTCAACTAACCTGAGCTCAATGCTCTCAAAAGTCATTGAAGGTAATAAATGTAGATGGAATGAAAGAATCAGAAAAATCATCATTTGTAATCTTCCAATGTAATAACTGATTCAAGCAAAGATCATTTAATGGATGCTAAAACCACTGGTTTAAAAGGTTCTTAGGAACAGGATATTTATTTGGCCATGAAGTACCTACCACATTATCAATTATTTATTAAATAGTAGAGAGCTCTGTCAGTTCTCACCTTTACCAAGTGATCAAGCTACAATCACCAACAGTGGGACAGCCTGACATTATGTGTCTCCTGATAAAATAAAGTGGTAGGTATGTATA